CCTTCCCTGCTGGCTTCCCACAAGCAAAGTCAATGGGGAAGCCAGCAGGGAAGGTCGCAAGTCACTCTGGTAAGTCGCTCGCACCTGGCCCCACTTCACTCGCACCAGCCACTCAAGCACCCTCTCCTGCCAGCAGCAGCCACCTCCAGCCTCACTCCACTTTACCTACCTGCCAGCCTGCTTGCAAGTCACCTGGGACTCACTTAATGACCCATGCTCCTCACTTAATGATGGCAATGAGGAGTGCCGGGAGTGATGCTGCTAAATGATGAGGTCACATGACATCGCGCTTTACAACCGCATTGCTTAGCAATGGAAATTCTGGTCTCAATTACTGTTGTTAACCAAGGACTGTTTGTACTCATAAGCAGTAACTCTTACTGCAAGGCACCATTACAGCCTGGAGGGACCCCAAAAGACAGCAATAACTTTTTGAAGCCTGCCTCAACTTCAAAGAAAAAACTCTCATAAAAGAAATCCAAATTTTGAAGCAAATTTGCTTCAAATAAATAATTTCCTTTTATTTCTTTTTCAGCACTACTACCAGAACAATCCAACCAAAGCTCAGAAATTTTAGTTCTCTCCTACTGAAAATAAATATTTACACTTGTGTTGAAAATTCCCATTAAGAATTTACACATTATAAATAACTTTAACAACTAGCATGAAGGTTCTAGAACAATTATTTATGATTACTCTACTATTCTACTACTGTAGTATGCTATGATATAAAACATGACTGATTTTTTTTTTTGTGGAGTCCTTGGGGTTCTCTGAGCTTGGTTGTTTTCTTGCAAACATTTCGTTACCCGGCTAGATAACATCTTCAGTGCTACAATGGAGAGGAGTTTGCCCTCTGTTTATATATAGTGGCTTGTCCTACCTATGTTGGTATTTTTTTTAATGCAACTACTTTATATTTATGTGTATCTTTCACGTTTATGAAAGGAATCCTGTGCAAGATTGTTAACTGATTCATCATCTACTCCCTCTTCCACATGGCTTAGGACAGATGACCCAGTCTGAAAGAAAATAACCTGTTCAAGTTCAGATCACTCCATTCCACACTTGTTTAACCTGGGCCAAAAAAATATCAGTCCACAAGAGCTATGTTTACTTGTCACACTTACTCAGCTAATCTAATTTTCTGGCTTTGCACAATATACTGAGCCATAAACTATTCATATAATTCATATAATAAACTAAGGTGAAATATAGTTGACTAGATTATGGTTCAGTGTCATGAGAATGTACAATAGCCTAGTTCTTTTATTGAGGTGAATTCTTAACTGGTACTGCGGTGGTGGACTCATGGCTGCTTTTCAAACCTGCAAGTGGGATCCACTAGCTGAACGCTCTCCCATGGAAGACCTATCCCACCTATGCAATTCTGCATTTTACCTGAGAGTAAGCCCTACTGAAGTAAATGGTGCTTGCTTTTAAGTAGGAGTTTTCGAATTGTACCGCTGTAGCCTAAACGTGCCTCAAGCACGCCAGTTCTATACATGTAGTTTTATCTTGTCTGTGTTTGTGGGTGCCTGGCTGCAGGGACATTCAACCAAGTGAGCCCTCACCTGCAAATTTCCTTTGCTTTGATTTTCTCCACGTCCAACACTTACACTCCTTTCTCCCCAGGAATCCCCACCTGCTCCAACAGCGATGTCTTGTTTTTAGAGTCTGAAAGACGAGCACACCAATACCCTGACCTCCCGCCCAACTCAGTGCCTCCGCCTCGGCGGCTTCGACCAACGAGTCTCCACCAAACCCAGCCGCGCATGCTCAATTCAGGAGCACGCGCGAGATCCACGCCTTACCGCTCGCTCGCCTTCCCTCCCTCCCTTCTCGAGAAAAACGTTGAAGGACGTTTCAAAAAAAACAAATACCTAGGAGGGAAGGGGGAAAGAAGGGCCTTGTGAGCGTATGGCTCGCGCTGCCCCCTAGAGGCGACTGGGCGGCCGCGAGCGGCGTCGGATTGTTGAACCGTCATCGCCGCTGCTCGGTGTGAGAGGGATGGATATATCGCTTCTAGGGAAAGAAAGAAAACGCCAGTAGGGAGGCGTCCTAATATCGCAAGCAGTTCCCAGGATCGTTTGGGGGAAAAGAACAGGCCGTTTGTTTTCTGCACGGAAACAGGGAGGTTCGAACTGCGCTAGGCTGCAACAGGGCCCTGTCTTTGATCCGACCGAAGCAGCTGGGTTAATTCAGTGAATCATGAAGCTCTTGCCATAAGGTAGCATGTGGTGAAAACACAGTTGGGACAAGGAATCGCAGGGCCTCCACTGGGCTAATGCTCAAGCATCTTTTTCCACAGAAATAGCTTGCATTGGCTGGGTGAAAAAGTAGCACCACTATATGTGGGCTGAAAAAAAAATCAGGAAAACCGCTTGGTGGCAGCAAAGAGAGATTTGTTTATTTGCTTATGAACCAACAGGTTGTTTTCGAATCTTAGGAACCACATAGATAGACGTATATGCTTACATATTGTATATCGTGTATATATATAATATGGTATTGTATATACAATATATAAACTGGAAATGAAACTGGCTTAAGAAATCCTTTTTCAAATTTCAACACCCTCCTCTGCTTTAGTGCAATGATAGGCAGGTATTCTGCCTGAAATGTGGTTAAAGATCACTCATTGGCAGATTCTCCTTTTCCCCTTCCACCCAGGCCAGGCGCCACCAATTGCTTTCCTGCTCCAGGCATGCCTTAGATTGAAGCTGCTGTGAGCCACTGGGGAGCAACCTTTTCCCCACCATGGTTAACAGCATATGTAATTTGTATCAAGTAGTGGAAGAGAAAAAACCATTGTCAGGTTTGTCCAGTTATGGATCTGTGAAATCTGATCTTAAACATACGTTTTGGAATGCATTATTTCAATAATTCAGTAATTCATAAAGTGCATATAGTTTCCCATTTGCAAATCCTTAGTTTCAAAATTGCCTTAATCAATGTTAAGAGTAATGGGAAAATGTTGAATTTACCAGGAAGTCTCTTTGTGGGTGTTAGATTACCAACTACAATGTACCCTTTCCTGAAAATAGCTGAATTTCATTCTGGAGTTAAATTTAGATGGTTCAGTGGGATGCAAAGATTGGAAGCAGGTGATGTGCAAAAGCTGTTGTGAAGGTAAACAACTTTAAAATTACTGCTACATAACTATGCTGCAAAATGAAAGTGTAGCAGATCTCAGCATTCTAATCCAAGCATGCTGAGAAACACCAGCTTCATGATCAGAACAAGTACAGCTTTCATCCTTTGGACTCTCCAAGTGCATCTACTCATTTTCCTTTTAAATTATTACTAATAGTTATCAAAGAGAAAGAGCCCCACCAAAGGAGAATTCCTGTGGATATCTTTAATCTTGTATGAAGCTATTCTATTTTCTTTGCCAGACAGTACATTAGAATATTTATAGACAGGCCACGCTCTTAGCTACGCTCTTAGCTACAAATACGCTTAAATACGCTGTATTTGTAAATAATTCCTTAGTGCATTTAAATAAATAGATATTCTGATTAATTATGCCTAGAATCATAAAATTAGTACCAGTTGCTTTGTTAGTTGACTTATTTATCAACATTTTTAAAAAATCAGCAAAATATGAGTAGTACATTTTTACTTGCTTTTAAACAAAGTACTTGAGGGAGTTAAAAACTGAGTTGTTTATCCTTACAGTAGCCCAGTGGCACAGATTTCTAATTACAAAGGAATCCAAGAGAGGGAGAAAAACATGATGACCTCCTTAAAATCACTTTTTCTTCCTTCTCACCATCAGCATTTCAGAATGAGTACTACTAAGCACTAATTTCAAAAAGACTAATCCTACACATGGACATTATAACCTCAGTGTAATATAAATGGAAAGAATGAATAAACTAGTGCTAATCCAGAACAGAGGGACTTCATCCTCCCAAATATTTTGCACAGGAGTGTTGCTCCCGACATCCTCCCTCATTGGTCATAGGGACAGGTGCTGCTAGGAGTAGCTATTCAGCAATTTCTAGATTTTTCTTACCACTGCTTTAGCACATAATTGCCTGATACGCATAATTGTGGTGTCAAGAGCAAGAAAGACCATTAGTGTGCGTATGTACACCAGATTATCATATGTAATACCTATTATCTGCAAATAAACCACTTTCTGGGAACAATCCCAATGGAATTTACTTGCAAATAAAATACAAAGGACTGCACTGTAATAGTTCTCTCAAATATCTGAGTTTTAAATTAAGTATTATTTTACAACACCACTTACTGCAAAACCAGTGTAACAATTCAGGCTATTTTAGATAACATAAATTTAGCACATAGCAAGAATGAAAGAAGTGACTATATTCACAGCAGC